GGGATATACGACATATATAATTGAATTCTTTAATTACTTGTTGATGCATAAATACATAAGGAAATTTTGTGTGTAAATAAAACTTCGAGTACCTTATTGAGAAAGAAGAAATAACTCAAACAAATCCTTGACTATGTGTTCCTGCTTCTTTTGTTACAGGTAATTAGATAATATCTCAAGAGCCACATACTTGAGAGATTATACAACAGCATTAATTTGCATGTTGGATTTGGGGAATATATTTATATTGGCGGTAAATTACCGCCACTCCCAATGTAATTAAGGTTAAATTACGAAAACCCCTCATGTTTGGATAATTACAATCATCCATCAATCATGCATTTTCTTACATGTCCACCATTGCGTTGTCAAATTTAGTGAAATCTTCTAGATTATGTGAATATTCTTCAGTTTGTACCCGTTTACTCCATTCGAGCTCCATATTTTGAAACAAGATGATCATAAGATGTGTCTTTTAACTTGTAAATATCAGATTGTGGTGCATCAAAAACTTCATTTTTGCACAAAACGAGTACAAGCTAGAGAATATTCCACAGAATCTTATGTTGAATTTAATACCATAAGGGTGTACGTATAAGATGATTAATAATTGATGGATAGTTGTGATTACCCAAATAAGATTTTTTTTTTCTCGTAATTTGACCTTTACAGAGGGTCTGAGTGGCCGTAATTTACTCTTTATATTGGAGGTATGTATGCAAGATGTCAAGATGATATTTGCACGACTGCACATCCATGGGTCTCTTTTCGTTCAGATCATGCGTAAATGAACTAAGTTTATTATTTTCTTTTTTCTTTTCGAACATCGAACTAATTTTATTATTTGAATACTGTGATGATATATAAGAGCTAATTGCACAAAATCCTGTGTAATCTGGAATGGCTGAAAAAGTCATTGTGTTAAAAAAATTAGCAAGAAACCTGATGATGCTAATTATTTAGATCACCTGGGGTAGTGTAGAAAACGAATTGGGAGAGCAAAGCAGATCAGTAGCTTGACAACTTGATGATCCTGAGGTACCTGCGAAATGAACACACGTGAACTACGCCGGGGGTTGATCCGGCGGAATCCCCTCTGGCGCTCAAGTCAGGCCCGAATTAGATTAGGTGTTTTCTGTTCGCAGGATCCTAGAGTAAATTAAAGTTCTCAGGACTATCTAACTCGTGAGCACGTGACCTACTTTGCTCTCCCAGCTTCAACACACTAGGTGATTTATTTTTTACGTCATCAAAACCCCTTATGTTATCTTCTACACAGCACACGCCCCTTATTTCATTTTTTGTTGCTAACTTAAATGAAATGACAAAATTACCCCGAATAAAAAATTAAACAAAATAAAAATACGTAACCCAAAAATAAAATATCAAAAGAAAAAAAAAATCAAATTACTGTCAAACCACCCCACCCCATCCTCCAACTCAAATCCAAACCTAGACAACTACTCTCCATGAAAGCTCTCTAGTGGTGCATCAACCATCGCAATCGTCCGAGAGCCATCATCTACCAGCAATTAAAAACGTCTGCGGTGGCGGCGCGCGGTGGATATTGACGTCGTGAGGGAGGTACGGTGGTTATGAAGGCGGCCGTAGTGGATGTGGTTATGGCAGTGGCCGTGGTGGAGGTGGTTTGGAAGTCGACCTCACTCATGTACG